CAAAGCAAGTCGAGTTTCGAGCACTTTAGGAAACGACAAGCATCAACGTGGAATTTTCAATTTGCTAAATTATTTATTTATGATAACTCACTGCATAATGTAAGTATCATGCTTAAATGAATGTGAAAGAGATCACCCTCGACTTCTGTTTAGATGTCATCAACTAGTAGAAAATGTTTGGTGGGTTATGTTTTCTAACTTCATAGACTAGATAATTGACTCTGGAACCCTGCTTTTCGACCTGATTTCTACCCTGGTCATATGGCTTTTCTCGTAATTCTAATGTTGAAAAATGGCAGGTACATACGATAATTAAATCTCCAATATCGACAAGACAGATTGTATAGAAATAAATAGTGTCAAGAAAAAAAAAAAGGAAAAAGAAAAAGTTGCCTTTAAATTTAGCCAGAAATTGGGGATGGAAACCTCCAAGCAAGAGATGGAACGAGAATTTATTTGCAAATGAAATAAAATAATTAGTACCACAAAGAATTGTGTTAAGATCTACACAAAATTCGTAGCAACCAGAAATAAGAGGAAACCACACCGCTGCCAAGAGAGAGAGGGCAAAATAAATAAATAAATAAATAAATAAAAATAAGGTGGAAACCGCGCAATCCTCCATTCCTGTCCCAACAAAGAATTTGTCATTCCGGTTGGAAAAATTAACAGATCATAAATTATATTTGCATAGTTAACCACATAAATTTTAACTTAATAAAATATATAAAATTAGGAACGAGAAATGATATGAATTTGATTGAGGCAAGTATTTGACTCTTTTTTTTGAAGCCGAAGTGCAGCAAGTGCTAATGATTTTTGGACATTCGTTTTACAACATTTGACGATTAGATAGCTCACAATAGGAACACTTCAAATTATCTAAACCAACGAATTTACTAATGCTTTGAAGTCTATTTAGACAAAAAAAAAAAAAAAACTTGACTCCAAATAAACGTAAAATTGTTTTGAAGCAAATATACATTGATATGATAATGCGTGGATGAAGTGATTGAATGAAAATTTCAATTATTGGGGTCTCTCTCTAATGATTCAAAAATTGTATTCCAAAGACACAACTCAATGAAAATATGTTTGAAAAGACACGCCTCGTTGAAAAATACATGTCTTCCTGATGAAAAGATACGACTGTTTGAAAATGTTATATCTAAAACGACACGACTCTTCAGCAAAATTAATTCTAGAATATTACATAATATTTTTCAAGAAGTTTATGCATACAAGCAACTTTATTCAATTTTAAAATACCCATCGCCGACAGTAATTTTCACTTATATTAATCAGCCAAAATCAATTTTTTCTAAACCAATTTTTATAAGAAACAACGAGATAGAGAGAGAGAAGGTTGTGTGGGTGCATTTTGATTTTCCAGAGGTTGCTAAAATAAATTAAACAAGTGTTCTGATTTTGTTCAATAAATAAAAACACATTTTAATTGTAAGAGATTGGATTAAATATGTGCATTACATGCTTTGATTTTAAACTCAACTACTTTCAACGATCATCAATGACCTATTTTTGAAATTAATGCATGTTTGAGAAATCACAGTTTACCTTAATTAGACTGATATAACTCTCATATTGGAGGATCCTAAACAAAATAGTCTACTGGTTGTCTTTGATTTTAATCATTAAATTATCAATTTTTTCATTTGTACAGAGCAGCCAGAAAGCTCACAATGATATGGGGCCCATCCAAATAAAAAATGACCAAAAAATAACCCACCTCGCCTAACCCGTACACTTAGCATTGCTGTTAAGTTATTTCTTTCGCTTCACTAATCACTATGAATAATATTTACACGAGTTTCTCTATTCAATCTTTGGCCGTTGTTTGATTCTCATTAATTTTAAAATATATATTTTTTCCTCTTCTTATCAACCACACATTATTCGAAAAAATAATATTACACGCAAATAAAACAATTTTCTTTATTTTTTAACCACATTTTCTGTCAATATGCTATTATAAAATGTATTCTCAATAAAAAATGAGGCTCAGACAGGTGCTTAACACCAAGTTGGTGCAACTTTTTTGAAAATGAATTTTGTAAAATGTGATTTTTTTAAGAATGTATAGTTAAAAAATAAGAAGAATTATAAGACGTGACATTCATGTGGACAATAATAATTTATCTATTTAATGATTCGTTAGAGACCATCAATATGAAATTCGATTGTTCTTTTGAGCTTTTAATTCATCGAATTGTTAGCATGAACAGGTTATGCTATGATACAGCACTTATAGGCAATCATTTTTTTTTCTCATACTCATTTTCAACTACACATTTTCATAATAAAATATTCTTCACGTAAATTAAAAAAATTTCTTTACATTTTAATCACATTTTTTTTCAAAATTTACTATTAAAAAATTCATTCTTCCAAAAAAAAAAAAATAATAATATATATATATATATATATGTTTGATAGGGGCTAAATCTTGAAATTTTGTCTTAAAAACACTACTATTTGTCAGAGCAATGGAAATATTTACCATTCTTGATGCATGTGGACCCCACTGCTTTGAATTGATATTAAAATACAATTAATAACCAATTGAAGTCTATGGGTTCACTGCCACCAGCATGGTGCTTGCTCTTATCGCTTTAATCTTAAAATGTCAACCTTCCTTAAAAATGAATTTCAAACAGCTATTCTCTTCTTATTTTAGTTTTGTAATTTTGAATTTTGAATTCATTTTGAATTTTGTGTTTTGAATGTCTAGTTTGAAATTGCTGAATATACATTTTTTTTGTCATTCTGAAAAACTATTTCTTAAAACGTGAAATTGGAAAACGCATTTACTTTGAAATTTTGAGAATAATTTTTTTATAATATTTTATTCAATAAATTTTTATAGTTTTATGTTAATATATCCCTCGTTTGATTCCCATTATTTAGCCACAAAAATGAAAAAATATGACCGTTATCCATTACATCAAGCCACCATATTTGACTTTCTATTTCTTGTGTGAGTCTTGTAACGACTATATTTTTCATTTTCATTCTTATGAAAATGGGTACCAAACGGTGCCATAGTATAAAACATAGTATTAGTTGAATTTTATAGATTTATTTCATATTAGCCGTTGGATTTTATTTTTATTTTAAACTAGTAACCAATTTCAATTTTTGTTCCAATTTGACCATTATGCACGTCTCCGTGATTAAAACTAATGACTCGTCCATATCTCACCGATTGTTTGAAGTTGTTAAAACCAATTCCATTCGTAATTATTTTTCATTTCCATCACTACCCAAGCAATGAAAAATATACAATAATGAGTAGCAAATTCCACCTCATTTTGAGTCAGGTGATAATTTTTAATCATGCATAAGTACAGAATGGCCAAACCGAAAGAGAAACATAAATCGAAATTCAATAACGTGAAACATGTTGATGAAATGTAAAACTTGTCTTAATTAAAATCTCAAGTGTACAAATTACTTCAAAAGCCTATAGTACTTTTGAGGCAAATAACACATTTGATGCTATTATACTTACGATCAAGTATCATATTAAAAAAAACAATGTCACCTCTATTCCTTTGTGTGTGTGTGTGTGTGATGGGAACATTACCTCTATTTTGATGCAAAAGAATGTGTAGAAAACGTGCTGTGGCTCCATACCTTGTGTTTTTCATTCACAATTTGGTTGTGCAAATTTGATCTTCTCATGGAGATTTGCCATTTGAAGAAATTCAAGGCCCCCGAAGTATTTTTGCTTCTATCACCACACTGCGAAACTGATTTTGTAACGTAAAGATTAAAAAATTACCAGCATCAACTTAAGTCCATGTCACACATTTACCATATACCTCATTTTTTCCATCAAAATGCATTCTCAAATATTGATTTGATCTCACTTCAACTATACATTTTCAATAAAATAATATTATACATAAAAATGATTTTTCTTTATTTTTTAACCACATTTCTCATCAATACACTATTCAAAAATATATATTTTTTGACAAGAATGGGGCTCAATCAAGGGCATAATAGTGATTATGGGTAACCTTTTTTTTTCCTGAAACTATACTTTAGTATATTTTATTAGATGCAATTTTCCAAGTTATTTTAACTGTGGATGATGAAATTAAATTATGATTCTTGTCTTCGACAATTTATTTTCATAGAATAAATTTGATAATTTTGTAGTGTTATGCAAATATAACATATTTACGTTCAATAAACAAAATCTTTTTTCATTAAGTACATGGCACCTAAAGCTCAGTGTACATAGGAAGGACGCCATTAACTATTCTAATAGGCATTGTCAAAAGTCAGGTTCTAAGCAGGCTATATATTGTATTGAAACAACACAAACTCACATCCCAACCTTTTTTTTTTTTTTTTCCGATGGAACATCGCCTCTATTCTAATGCAAAAAAATGTGTGGAAAACATTCTATGGCTCCATAACTTGTGCTTTCCATTCGCAATCTGGTTGTGCAAATTTGATCTTCCCATGGAGATTTGACATTTGAAGAAATTCAGGGCCACTAAAGTATTTTTGCTCCTATCACCACACTGCAGAACTGATTCTGTAACTTAAAGATTAAAAAATTACTAGCATCAACTTCAGTCCATGTCACACAGTTACCATATACCTCATTTTTTCCATCAAAATACATTCTCAAATAGTGATTTGATCTCACTTCAATCATATATTTTTCAATAAAATAATATTATACATAAAAACATGATTTTTTAACAATACATTTATCATCAATACACTATTCAAAAATATATTTTTTGATAAAATGGGGCTCAAACAAGGACATAATAATGATTAAGGGTAACCTTTTTTTCCTGAAGCTATACTTTAGCCTATTTTATTAGATGCAATTTTCCAAGTTATTTTAACTGTGGATGATGAAATTAAATTATGATTCTTGTCTTCGACAATTTATTTTCATAGAATAAATTTGATAATTTTGTAGTGTTATGCAAATATAACATATTTACGTTCAATAAACAAAATCTTTTTTCATTAAGTACATTGCACCTAGAGCTCAGTGTACATAGGAAGGAAGCCATTAACTATTTCTATTAGTCATCGTCAAAAGTCAAGTTCTAAGCAGGCAATATATTAATTGTACTGAAACAACACAACTCACATCCCAACCTGAGATGGACAACGGCATTATAGAGATAGATAAGTACCTGGACAACCCCCCTTCTCCAACATCCCAATACTTGATGGTTCCATCCCTTCCCCGGCTGAACAAATTAACAAATAAACCACCAATGAGTTGGAGGAAAAACTTGTATCACACAAATTTGCAACATGTAAATGTATTAAAAGTTACATGAAATTCACAAGTCTATCAAACAAATTTAATGAGCTTTTGTGTTGACTATGAATTTTTATAACTTTCACGCCCCTAAAAAAAAATTCTCCATAATTATACTAAAAAAAGCGATACACTGCAGATATAACTCCACTACAAATGAGTCGGAATTATCAATCCCGTGAAAAAAAAAAAATCATAATTCGACGAAATTAGACGTCATTATAACTACAAATCGATCTTGCAAGTTGAACGATTCAATAAGATACATTTCAATAAGCATCTGAGTTTCTTGTGAAAGTTTTCTTCACTTGTAAGAAAGTATAGACTCTCAATAGTTTAACAATTTTGTTTAACTGAATTTGTGGCAAGAGGGAGTCTTGGAGTCAAATTTTATCAAGGTTAGTCCTAGCAAGCATATTATATTTAGTTTTGTAATACATAATGGAGTGGGTGCACAGCAGAGAAAAAGACGTAATACATTGAGGGAGAGAAATTCTAAATCTTACGAGTTACCTGACGCTTACTGGAAAAAGATGCGATCATTCTTGGCTCTCAGGTTATCATTCTTCTATAGAAATCTACCTTATTTCTAGCAAAAGCAATTTTGGTCGGTTAGTTTATGAAGAGCGCACTGTTTTTGTCTTTAAGTTGCCAGAACTTGTCATAATCAGTTAATAACCACAGAAGTATGATTGGGTAATTCATTCTCGAGTTGGACTTCCCCTTACTGATTGAAACTCCTCATTGGGTGTTCTCTTGATTAAACAGAATAAAAATGCCCTGCCTATCCTGGTTATTTTTTTGCTCACTATACCTCTTTAAGGAGATATAAATATCCAGGTTCTAATCAATACCTCCTGCAGAAGTAAGTGATTATACACTGAATCAAATGAAGCATATGCCTTATACACTGAATGAAGCATATTACTTATACACTAAATCAAAGACCTAATAATAAATCAGCCTATACTCCTCCAAAAACCCAAAATCATGAAAATCAGTTAGCATATACACACAAGTGACTATAAAAGCAGCTTCATAAGTCTATGACCTATTCAAGAGCCCTAATCAAACACAGCTCACATCATAGCAAAAGATTGCAAGTATCTTTTTCTTTACCAATTTTCAAGCTTTTCAATCTAAACAAAGAAAACCCACGTTTCTTATATCAAAAATAAATAGATGCGATCATATAATGGAAGTCAGATTAACATAAGACATCACTACATGAAGAGAATCAATTCCAACTTTTTTCTGTTGTTTGTAACGAATGAAAAATGGAGAAACAACTAAAAAAAATTCAATTTCCCATTTTACGCATCTAACCGAAAAAGAAGAAATTAAAAAAAAAAAAAAAAAAATTACAACAAGAATAGGGAGAT